CCGCGAATCCGAAATCACTTGCGGACTTGGAGGCGTTTCTGGACAACTTCCTACTGCAATTCCAGAACGCGACACATGCGACTACCAAGGAAAGTCAGGCAAAGCTATTTAAGTCACGTGCCTGAGGTCTTCCCTGAGATGTATGGATTCTACTGATGTGACACTTCAGGGGCGACGATCTGCGCCCGGTTCGTGGCATCATCACGCGAAACTTGGGTCAGTCAATGGTGGAGATAACCGATTTGACAGATGCATCTGTCCACCGACGGCACATAGACCAGATACATTTCAGAAACGAACGAACTGTCAGTGCATCGGAACCCCATGATAAAAAGGATAACCCTAACAATTCTGAACTGCCTGAATCTGACACTACGGTTCCCCAGTGTCACAGTGTGGAACACGAAGTTGCAGTAGAACCGGCGGAATCGGAAGCCTCGACCAACGCAACACTAAGGAGATCACAACAAAAAGCAAGTCAAATTGATGAGGCACTGTTGAGGGAGGAAAGTTGTGGTGATCGTGTAACGAGTACGCACGCACCGCCGTACAGTTTCCAGGTAACCAATCAAGAGGCGGGATAACTGACCAACCCTATGGTCTCAATTGGCATCATCCGGATTGGCTGAGTACAAGAAGGCAATCAGATAAACCATATCCCTGTCGATTGGACATTCAATGATTGTTTGTTGCTTGTAATATATATTTCCATGATTTTCTGTATCCACAGCTCATTTTGGTTCTACCTGACTTTGCGCTATTCAGTGGGTTTTCAGTCCGATACCGAGTTCGCGCTATTCGATTTCGATTCCTATTCCGAATACTCCAGTTCGCGGGGGTAGTCTGGCCCTATGGTTACCTGCTCTTCGGCCAACTTCCTTACATTGACGGAAGCTGCCATCATCAATTCCCGATGTCTCGGGTTATGATGCTCTACAAGGGTTGGCCTAGGTGGTAAGGCACTAGGTGCCTGTTTATGGCCCTGCCACTTCCCAAGGCGCAACACTCGCTTGATCTGCACCTCTGAGGGGATCTGAGCGAGTCGGATTGTGTTTCTGACTTGGTGTAGGAGCGTTTGCCTGCGGCTGCGCGTTTCTCTACAAAACGGCTCTGAGATGCCCCTGATAACGAAGTTTCTGTTTCTCCCTAGGGCTGTGTTCGTATGGGCCTCAAGCCTATGCAGGGAGTCTCTCAGGCTGGTGGTGATTTCGGCGAGCTTCGCAATGGCCTCCTCGTTAGCGTCCATGTGCGCATCAAGTGCCCCTTTCCCTGGTGGCAAGTGACACTGGGTAGCCTTATTGGTTCCCCTCGTGTTTCCGGCGGCTTGCGCACTAATCCCTGTGGTTGCCGGTTTGGAAACGCGTGCCCTAGGGCTGAACTTAACCCCTCGGCTTAGGGGTGCCGCTGACGTGGTTTGTTGTTCATCACGCTCAGGCTTCCCCACTAAAATCCATTACCGGTTATTAACTATTCCAGACTGGTTTTCCCCCAGGCATCAGGGTCCCTAGATCGGGGTTACTTTTGTTTATTTCCCTACTTGGGGTCGAGTTACACGGAGGAGCTTGCACTGCCAACATTGAAGGAGAGTTTCCTTTCGAAGGCAGTGTTTTCGCCCTGGATATTCCGATAGAGCTGGTGCAGTTTNTTTGGACAAACCCATTTCAGAAACTTGTGGACAGCGTAGTGTTCAACTGCCTTGGAAGTTGGTTTACTGCACCGTTGGTGAAACCAATCCTGGAACAGATCACAACGGATACCTTCAACCACCTCGAGAGAACACCCTATTCTGGCACACGGGTAGGATGCAATAACCTGCTTGGCTCGTATAGTCCCTTTAGGAGGATTTCTCTGAGTTACCATGGGACTTGTCTAGATGCGCTTCAAGACTATGTCCGGTAAAAAAGGGGTGTGTAAAGATAGAAACCCTACACAAAAACGATAAAAACCAAGGATGAGTAACTCTGGGTAGTACTGTTGGCAGTAAATGTTGTAGCCTAGTCGCTCACCTGGACGGGGATTCGTCACGTTGGTCCTGCCACCCGGGTTCCGCTCAGTTGTGGCTCCCGGATTCAGAGTTCCGATCTCCAGCGCTGAAGGCTCGGTAAAAATTGTGCTACCGCTAATTTTCCAACAGGAAATTGGACTCTTGAGTGTTTTCTCCTCTTATTGTCGGCCTAATTCTACAGTGGAACGCTCCAGTTCTCTCTTGATGTGAAAACGACGAAATATATCAATCCCCAACAGCAAATGGATAAAAAAGCTCAGAGGATTTTGGAGGAGCTCATTCTTCACCTAAAAGTACTATTCTAGCACAGTTTATTGAAAATGTTTGATCTAGATGCAAATTTGTTTAAATGCACCATTGCGCCAGCCATCTGAGAACTAGACCACCATCTTCCAGGAGCCGGATAGGTCTTTTTGGCGGATTTTCTGGTTTAATTGGTCTATTGGAAGGATGATGTGAATGCTGAGTTTGCCTATTTGAACTTCAAATACTGTTGTAAGTATTGTGGTGTTTTTGTTATTTCCTTGTGGACGAAAGCGAGTGGTTGCAATAATGGCACAATCAGAAGATAGTTTGTGGACATCCAACTTCGGTTTGTGGAACAATCCTAGCAGCGATACGAATGTAGGCGATATCTGGAATGGTGGCGTTCCATTAGCCACCGGTAATACGATTAACAGTTTTCAAAAGATGAATGGTTTAAGTATGTTTTCGTATTGTTGGCAATTAACATCTGTTAGCTCCATTCATAGGAAAAGATGTGGACAAACCGACCGATGGTATCAAACTACCTGATGCAGTTGACATACGTATGTTTAGTACATTGATATATATTCCTTGTGTAGTGGCCTCCTGGAGTCCTATGAACTCAATTTTTCAAGATGTAGAGAAGAATTCTATCTGGTCATCGAACGATTTATATGCAGCAGAAGATAAAAACCCAAGTCTTTCGACCTCTTCGTTACCCTGGCCCCCCGCTCCGCAAGATACTAATCAAGAAATTGGGGAATCAAACGCTTCAAACGAGGTATGGTGCTCGCAGTTGTCTAATGACTCTCAGCCCTGGGACCTTCCTCGAAATACTCTATTCTTCGGAATTCCTGAGTTAGATCAACCAGAAACGTGGAAATTCGAACAATCGCTGAGTAATGCAGAAACAGCACAGCCTGTTTCGACCGCAGGTAACTTGGTCATCTTCAAACTATACTTTAATTGTTCCTTAGCCCCTGTTGCCGTAGCACCGGTTGATTGTGGCCCTAGCGTGACCGCGCGATCGGATTCTACATCAGATAACAGTAAGTCAGTTTGCTATCTATTTCGGCGATTGTTTTTGAGTGGTTTAATTAGTTATTGAATTGTTTAGTCTCATTCCGGATAATTTACCGTAGTCGAATTTCTTCAAACTAGACCGTTTCGTTATGTAGTGACTAGTGTATAGCATCACCGAACACCCTGATAGTTTCGTTTTGCCCTTTAGCACCACAGGCTTGGGTAAGATAATTATGCTGGTTCCAGCTGTTCGACATCTAGTACTTTAGTTATCGCAGGGAGTAGATCGTTTTCTTTCTACCCACAAGTTAGCATAAGGTAGATACCAGCTTAATAACTGTATTAGTTAGCCGCCATTTCTCTCAAGTAATATCCTTTGTATAACAGTTATCTTTGGACTGGAGTCGAACGTGTGAAGTATAGTATGACTATACCTGTGGACTTCACATGGGGTGAACGTCCGCTGCGTATCAGATTGTGATAAAAGGTGAATATTCAAAGCTGATCATTATAGAAATCAAACAAGAAAGCAAGTTTGAGCTTGCTTTCTGCCTAAACATTCATCTTGCACTTATGTGAACCGGTTTTGATAGCTTATTTAACTACCCATTCCATCGGTTCATGACGAAGTAAATGAGCTGAAAATGTTCCCCAATTTAACATGCAGAGTGCGAGTGAACTAAGTGTGTGTTAAGAGCGGATGTATGACGTACGATGTTCAGTTTTCGATCACAAGGTAGGGTACAGAGCAAGCTGTAGACCNCCCCATAATCAGGTATTCAGGGTAACGTTCAGACAAAAATCACTCTTGGACCCTGTTATTGAACGGAAAAATCGTGCATTGATTGAAGTACAAGGACGGAGTGATCCACTATTTTGCAGTTCTGGGGAAGAGGGCCGAAAAATAGAAGTGCTAAACCTGGGGGTCGAGGTTTGGTATGGGTAATTGATCACCTAAAAACGGGACGAAGGGGAAAAAACAAAGGAAAAAGGGCCATAGAAGCGAGTTCAAAAGAATAGAAACCGAAATGGTCATGATAGAAAACAACGAGGCAGCTGCTCGGTAGTGAGAATAGGATTGCAGATTTTAAGTCAAAGACGATTCGTTTATTGGCCGCATTAGGTTGGTTCCCAGGTCCCCAGTTGAGAAGCTTAACGCTACCCATACAAAATGGTGTAGGTTAATGCAAGTAAACTCGATCAATTACGACGAGACTGCACCTTGACTTATTGTGATGGCTTGCGCGCCACTGACACTGAACTATACAGGATCGCTGCTCAGTTGCAGGTTCAACCGTAACTGAAAGGTCGATTAGTAGAACTCAGGACGAAAAGCCGACATCCGGGGCTATAACTGATTCGGTGGACCACTGATAGTTCACTTAGGGGAGTTGGACAAAAACCCTGACTTCACATCCAATTATTATTATTCAACACGTAACCAATTACAGAGAACTGGAAAATGTGCCACAACATATGAACAAAAAGAAACCTGAAGAATGTGTTCATCGGTTGTGTGGGCACGTTACTTCCCGGTTACCCTGGCCGAGGGAGGAGGATATCCTCGGGGTCGCCACTCGAAGCCTTTGACTAGAGAGCCAGACCTGCAAGACACCAGGACGGAGCTCAGAGTCTGCAGTTCATTGGGGGCCGGTGTCCAGTTCACTGGATCATACGCCCTTTGGAGGGGGTCAAACGTCCAAGGTGTCCAATTGAACCGGCGATCACTGCCGCGAACAGGAAGGTATGCGAATGGTACTTACGCCTCATCTTGTTTGGTTTGGAATCAGGGGTTTTAGCCAACTCCCCTAGGTGAACTACTAATGGTTCACCAACCCGGTTATAGCCCTGGATGTCTTATTGAATGCATGAAACTATAGGCCAACTCTCAACAGCAAATCGACAAATTACGCACCAGTAAACAACACTGAACCCAAACCGAGAAACTTCGGTTAACAGGTCTCTAGAAGCTCCTACACGGGTGCTTCAGTAACGCTGTCGCGTTGGATTTTTGCCCCACTGACTTACGGGCCAGACATTTGAGTCAAAAGCTCCGGTCAAGACTCCCCAAGAAAAGTCTCTTCATTGGTGTACGCCATCGCGAAGTATGTCGTGCCTACAAATCTTAGATAGCCATCTAGAAAACCCTCTCTCATCTGTCTAGTTCTTCCTCACTCCCAAAATTCGGGAGATTCTGTCTTCTTGTGCCACCCGTCGGATATCGCAGTGTTTCACCAGCGAATGAAGCACAGAGCGGCGGACGACAACTGGACATACGCAATGTGCCTTAGCCAACGAAGCCTACTACCACTGCTACTCCTAATCTGTATTCGCAGAACCAGAAAGTTTATCCCTGATAAACTCCCAAGGACTACCTCCAGGTTACTAACCCGTTCGAAGCATCACCTCTGGGCCAAACTGTATAAACAAGGATAATCAAAAACTTCTAGTCGATGGATACCTTGTACTCGCAAATTCAAGGTTTCGCAACCATAAAACAGACCTAAACGGTAGCACAATATACAACTTTTCAACTTCAGTGGGACGTCGCGTCTACGCCAAAGGTGTGTCAGTCGTGCGTGTGTTGCTCGAGCCTTGGAAATACCGGTGGTTATCTCCTTTGCTGCGCGTGCCCTTTCTGAAGATGGGGACAACAATCGGTCCCCCCCCCCTCGAGGAGGAGACCTGCTCAGTGTTCCAAACTTTGGAGAACAGAACTTGTAGTTCTCTAACAAGCTTTATTCCATCATTTTTAAATTGAGCAGGGGAAGGCCATCGGATTACGGTGCTTTGTGACGTCCCAAGGCTTGGATCTCCTTACGGATTTTCGCCTCAGAACGTAGGTCTGTTGTGACAGACCATGAGACGGGTGCCGGAATAGCTGTGTGAAATGTGATGTTGGTGACCAGCTAAACTGTGTCTTGAATTGCTCCACTCAGCGTTCAAGACGTCGCTGTTGATTACGAGTGGGTGAACCGTCAGCTTCGCAGATCGTTTCGCTCACACCCAAGGCTTTCCTACCGGTAACCCGAATGAGATGGAACAGCTTACGGGAGTTTCTCACGGCGGCAGCATGTTCCATCTCTGACGCGCATTGAGTCCACCGGATCTCGCGGTTTCCGCGTAAGTTTGCGTTGAGGTTACAACTCGTTATGAGTCGTATTTCATGCTCGCTGCCGGTTGGAACAGATCAGCGTAAAGACTCCACAGAGATCCGGGGCATGTCCGACCACAACTAAGCCAGCAGAATGCAGAGCATTCTTAATAAGTGACCAGTACCGGTTAACTTCATCGGGTGGAGTTGGTTCTAGCTTTTCAGCTAGTGCGTTTTGGAAGACAGTTAGACAAGCTGGTTCAGACAACTTATCGCAGTCTAACCGTCGTGTCGTGCGTCTGGAACGCCCACCGAAGTAAATGAACAGCTTGGCGCATACTAATGCTTGATCAGATTCGAGGAGAGTGCTCCAGTATGATCGACAGTCTGGAATGCAGCTCCGCTACTTGTGGCTTATCGCGATGCGGTCGATCTGCGTCCGTCGCTGACTCGAGGACGATGGGCGCTAAGTGGAGTACCGGCAGTTGGAGCGCCTGAAGTTCTTACCGGCGAGGAATAGGCGGTGGTCGGAACATAGAGCCAACAGCTGTTCCCCGTTTTCCGAGCAACAGAAATCTAGTCCGAAAGGACCTCCCAGCTGCGCCTCACTTGCCTAGCTACTCTAGCATTTATATCTCCTGCTAAAATCACGATATCATCCCGGGTCGCTTTTAGCAAGAAGTCGTGTAGATTGTGGTAAAATTCATCTTAAACTGCATCGGGGCTGCAGTTCGTTGGCGCGTACGCCGACACGACAAACAGGTTTCGTTCATCGGGGCGACGGCTGCTTACTTTGCACGAACCTCTGTCTCACTGCGCACAACCTACTGTCGACTGGGAACCAGTCCAGGAGCGCGGCTTCAGCTCTCTCACTGAGAGCCACACCAAAGCCAGCAGGACTGGACGCCGTAGCCAGACCAGAATGCTCGAAACGGTATGCACGCACAGTTTGATTGTGTACTCTGTCAACCAGAGGTTCACTTTCTTCCCCCTCCCTGAAATTTCATCCAGTCCCTATCCACTTCACGTGTTACCACTACCTTTGTATGCATTGCGAGTTTGCCAGCGGTCAGTGAAGTTCGCTTCAGTCCGTTTCGCTGTACGATGATGATGATGACTGGGTCACATGGGTCCTGTTGGGCCCCCTGGATGGGGACCTTGAGATCATGGTAACTGGTGATGAGAAACACTGGGCAATTTGGCCGAGTGTCGCAAAATGACGCTCGTGCATCTACTCATTGTTCTTGCAATCGCAGTTAATATGAATTCTCTATCTTCTCTTTGATTCTGCTCTCAACATTCCAATCTACTCTTTTATCCAGATGGTCAGCTAAAAGAGGGCAACCAAAACCGGTACACGAAGATGCATGGTTAATGGTTGTAAATACTGAACTAAACTGATGCGAACTTGATTGGGGAGAACAAACCACAGTAGTTAACTTGTTACCCGGTTAATTACTGCGCAGCTCTCTTCCGAAGGACCAACTTTCTATGAATCGATTGGTTGGTGCTCTAATCTTTCTCGAAACAAATTAATGTGCGTTACTTTCTCCGCCTAAATGATGAAACTAGTATTATTTTTCTGGTTACTCATTCGCTACCCGAGTGATTTGATAGATAATCGAGCTAATTGAGAATTTTTGTGTTTCAAACCAATCTCAGAGGAGGCTCGGGATGGTTTGTTCGTGAGTTAGCCTTTGTTAATGTTGACTTGATATCCTTTGGCTTACCGACTCATTAGTCACCTGTTTTTTGCTAACGCAGGCTTGGTGGTTGTTCGTTTTGAAATTTTTATTTATTGCATTGGGCAACTTTTGCAAGCACCAGCTCACATTTCAGTCAGAAAAACGGCATCGCAAGAGTCATACGGAACACATTTCACGAAGCGAACATTTCTCCTACAGCTAAACGTAGTAGAAACATGCATATAAATGTGGCTATCCCTTTTGTCAACACTTCATGCAGTTTGTTAATAATATTCACAAGAAACACTCGATTCTGTTAACATTTTAGACTCCGTTAAGAATAACGGTTCATCCGAGGATTCCGTCAAGACGTCTGCATTTTCTACTGAACAACTTTGTGATCACCTGATCAATTCAAACGAGGGTTGGGGGAAACGGCCTGTGGATCAATCAACACCCTGGGATGCTTCTGATGTAGCCCGCCCAGGGGCAGATCAATTAGGCCGCAGCGGAATTACAACACCGACCCCCGGGTCTTGTTCTACTTCTACTTTGGTCGGCAACTTCCGAGTAGCACCACAGGTTCAACGCCACGAGTCAAACGTGTGGACGAGTGAGCCACCCACAGGTACCGGTATTTGGGAGATGCATTACGAAAATAATGGTGCGCGGTCGACACTGTGGCCTGCTTCAACAAGCGCAAGTAGTGTTCCTGCAACGCCAAGCACCCAACCCAATCCGCTTATTCTCATGAACAACATGAGGACCGTACCACAGAACGGAACCCTCTTTCCACGATCAGGAACTTATCGCAATTGGGATGCCAGTGAGAGTGAGTAGTCTACATGTACAAGCACTGTGGCGAAAAGTGGCTACCATTTTTTTTTTCACGTTTCTACTTTGTTATATTCACGATGTACTTGTTTTTCGAGGTGAGTGGAGGTGCACACAACAGGGTAGTTGTCTTTCCCGTTTGTGAAAGATGTTAATAAGTTTTGTCGTGGACGAAATATTGAAGAACGCACTAAATATTCGTATTAAAAGAACAGCTGTGCGATTTGGATTAAGCTGACCACATCTGTTGTCTGTTCGAATGTATGAAGGACGCTTAAAGCGCTCTTGATGGACGGACAAATTCTGTGACACCCCACTTTGTATGTTCGTCGCATTTTCAAAGTGCAGGATGATGCCGTAAGACTGGGTGTCGGCCAGTCCTGGTTCTGAAACTAGATCGTAAGGTATTGGTTGAAGTATACTGCTTCTGGTACATGGGCAGTTGTGTGACCAATTACGGTACCTCAGTAGAGAAGATAATTGCTCGAGCAACCTACGACGGACTAGAACACCTGTGGCAACGATGCGACGTTTCACTAAAGTGAAAAATTCGCATGTTCGGCGCCACCGTTCGATCAGTTCTGCTTTGCCTTTGTTAGATCTTTAAGTTGCGAATAGAATACATCCAGAGCCTGAAGGTTTTCAATATTCGATGCTTATGTTGTCTGGATCGATTTAGCGGTTCGGTAACCTAGATTTTAGTCGTCGGTTGTTTGGGAATGCATATATATATATATATATAGACAAGCATGGTGCCAACGCCACAACAATAGCAATTACAATAACGGGATGGGGGAGATACAGAGCATGGTAAAAAAGCGGAACTACTGAAATGCAAATTTGCAAATAAATGGGATAACAATTTTTTGTTTCACCGCACACTTTTTGAAATTCTTTTGTGCATTCTTGTTATTACCAATCGAACAAGAAGCCTTAAGTGTTTATGCTCCCCTTGAACTGTCCACTCTGTGGTAACTATAAAAGGTTCTCTTCTCCCTCCCACAAATTAGGCCCAATCCCTGACCACTTCATGGGCTTTGTATGCATTACGAGTTTAACAGTAATCAGTGAAGTTCGCTTTGCTGTACTTCCGCTATACGATGCTGATCAACGGCAAAAATTCTTGCAATATTTTGTTTTGCATTGCTATTTGCCTGCCTGATGTTCCACAGTTATCAGTGAGGCCCACTTCACTGTATTCCGCCGTACCATGATGATAATGATGTCCCACTGATGCACAACATAAACATGGTTATCCTTGCTCTCTCCACTAGAATCTGGCTTTCCTAAATTCAAATATCACTTATCGAGTTAATTTTAGACTACCTACATGCACATCGAACGATTTTTTATTCCGTGGAAATAACATCCCTGTTGTTTATGTGACAATTCATACAGCATCACTCGCATGGCGGCAGTAGTTACACGAGTGGCATGCAGAATGTTTTTTAAGTACTGTAGCCTTGGTAACATAAGTCCTGTTTGATGGGACAATCGAGTTTAATTTTTGTAGGCTAGCTCCTGGGGCAGGGGCTTCACAGATGCTTCGGATAGCACTAAATGCTCCCGTACGACCAAGCGTCTCGAACAGCCTCTACTGAGAAAGCCCTACTCACTGCCTTCCGGTAGCAGAGGTGTTTTCCCACCAAATTGAGAGGACGAAAAGCCGACATCCGGGGCTATAACCAGGTTGGTGGGCCACTGGTAGTTCACTTAAGGAAGTTGGTCAAAAACCCTGATTCCAAACCAACCAAGAAGAGGCGTGAGAACCACACGCACCTTCCTGGTTGTGGCGGTGGTCACCGGCTCGATTGGGCATCAAGGTGTGTTGGGCACTTTGGACGTTTGACCCCCTCCAAAGGGCGTATGATCCAGTGAACTGGACACCGGCCCCCAATGGATTGCGGTTTTCACACACCGCCCCGCTGCCTTGCGGGTCAGGCTTTCGCTAGTCAAAGACTCCGGTTGTGGATTCCTAAAGAAAATTCACTTGCCTTGACCTGGGCAACCTAGTTGTATCCCACCAACATGCAAATCATAAAACGTTATTCTTTTTTATAAAGATGATTGTACCATGATTTGTTTGGCACAGTTTGGATTCAGACGTGTGTGAAAATAAAATATATAATTCGGATAGCGCTTATTCTGAAGCAAGAAAGTTGAGGTAGGGACTGAGGGATCCACTTCTGCTTTCATAGGCAAACCCGATGAACAAACGNCGGTATACATAACCGCCTAACTTTCGATTTTGTCACCAGATAGGTTGCCACGGCGAACGATGTTTGCCAAGGCTGGTAGCGATTGGAAAAAACGAAGGGCGGTCAAGCTAAGATCTGTCATGAGGGTATGAAAACTCTAACCAGGAGACTAGGTCACATAGGCCCCGTTAGGCTCCCTGGCTGGGGACCTCGGGATGATGGTCAC